TACAGCTCTGGTCACTGGAAGTCTGAGCAAAGCTGTATAGAGTCAGACAGGTGTGGAGACTCAGAATCACCCAAGCCCTGGCCTTGGGTTAGGAAGGGAGCACAGGACCCTGTACTTGACAGAAGATACTGCCCAGCTTCAGAAGGGGAAAATAGGCTGGCAGCAGCTGAGAGCTGGCCCTCCTTCCCTGGTATTTCCACCTGGCATCCCCCCAGAGGAGCCCCACGGGAATCATGACTGACCTTGGCATTGGTCTCTAACAGCCTCACTGAGCTCGTGTCTCTAGCCCTCATAGCCGAGGTGCTTGGAGTGCTCAGGATATGTGGTGTGAATGTGTGTTCCAGAAGCAGGCTGTGCAAGTCAGGTATCAGCTCAGGATCTGGGACACCATCCTAAGCCACCCTGAAATAGGCTGGCTTGGGAGGGGGAGTTCTGGGTTTCCACCAGTATTCAAAACCTGGAAGACAGACCCCCCCACCACCCACCAGCAGAGAGTAGAAGTGGTGGAGGGAAAGCCCACCATGACCAGGAACAATACACTAAGTCTCGTGATACAACTCTCCATGGTTTCATTATTATCCCCACTTTACAGATGAGGAAACTGGGGCCCTGAGATGTTAAGTAATTGGCCCAAGGTTATATGGCTTCTAAGAGTCAAAGCCCTCATGCAAAGCAGGTGCTCTGATCTGGAGCGTGTGTGCTGGGCCCATGGTGCACTAGACACAAGTTTAGGAAGAGGAGTGGTCTGTGGACTACAAAGCTTCTGATTGTGTTCCTTTATGACCAGGGTGAGAAATCGGGGGCGGGGGTGAGGGGTGGGGGGAGGGACTTGCTAACGTAATGGTCCCTCCACAGAGAAGAGTCAGGGCTGTCTCTGGGTGACAGAAGGCTCAGCCCGATGGTCAGGGTAGTCTCTGGAGTCATGCCCCACATCATGCCAGTTCCTCTGTGCCACAGAGAGGTCAGCACTGGATTTCCACATTGAGTCATCTTTCTGGGGAGAAAAAAAAAAGGCCCCTAAGGGCTGAGACCTCCATCACATGGGGTGTGGGGTCTTCCTGAACCTGCACAGGCACCAGCTCTGGCCACTGGCCGAGCTTTGAACCAGGAGGAGCGGAAATGTCCTGTAAGTGGTGGGAGGTGGGGGAGGGCAGTCGCCACCACCAAAGTGCAGTGCCCTCGGGGGTTGTGGCTTTGGCCCAGGACCTGCCCTGGGGGAGCTCATCCTCCAGGGCTCCCAGGAAGCTGCTGCCCTGTGGGGAGACCCAGGCACCGCCCAGGCAGAGGAGGAGGCAGCCTGGATCTAGTATCTCCAGGAAACTGAGGCAAAGCCCACAGCATCCTGTCTGTGCTCAGAAAGCCAGGCTGAAATCACCTTTGGGTGAGGATGCCAGGCTCTGTGGACCGTGTGCTTCTGGGCTATTAGTTTTCTTTTGGAGGCTTTACTTCATAGTGCTGAAAATATCTTTTTTTTTTTTTTTTTAACAAACTCCATCATTCTATCAGCTCCAATAAAGAAAATAAAGAATTTGTCCACATGTTAGATCAGGCTCTAGTTCCATTCAGGAAACTTTCTATAAGCTCCTCTAAGTGCAGCGTCCCCCAGATGTGGATCTTGACTTCTAGAATTTAGTCACTAAAAGGCTAGAGAGGTCTTAGCTCCAGGATGTGGCTGAAGGCTTGGGAGATGTATGCTGAGGACTCCTGGCAAGCAGCACCTATTGTCCCAGGCCCTCCAAGTGGCCCATGAAATCAACTGCCCATATTTCTGCTTCCTATAGTATTTTTGTTGCTGCAGCCCTAGGATTTATCTCTGGTGTCCCTCAGCTCTTTCCAAAGTGTTTCTGAGAGCACCCCCAGCCTGACACGATTTCTAGGCTTCGGAGCCTCCCCCGGCTGTCCATTGCCATCTCTGCAGCCATGGACTGGCAGGACTTCTCCCTTTGCTTTCCCCAACTGCTCCCACCTCCCTGCATAAGTCAGTTCAGATCAGCACATGAGATTGTGCCAGGCGCTGTGCTGGGCACTGGAGACCTAGAGCTGATGCAATCCCAGGAGCTCCCAGGTCTGGAGAAAACATTAAAAAAATGCTTCAGTTCAGTTCAGTCGCTCAGTCGTGTCCAACTCTTTGTGACCCCATGAACCGCAGCATGCCAGGCCTCCCTGTCCATCACTAACTCCTGGAGTTTACCCAAACTCATGTCCATTGAGTCAGTGATGCCATCTCATCCTCTTCTGTCCCCTTCTCCTCCTGCCCTCAATCTTTCCCAGCATCAGGGTCTTTTCCAATGAGTCAGCTCTTCACATTAGGTGGCCAAAGTATAGGAGTTTCAGCTTCAGCATCAGTCCTTCCAATGAACACCCAGGACTGATCTCCTTTAGGATGGACTGGTTGGATCTCCTTGCAGTCCAAGGGACTCTCAAGAGTATTCTCCAACACCACAGTTCAAAAAATGCAAAATGCTTAGTAGATGGAAAATGCCATTGAAGCCTTAAAGGCCACAGATTTGGCCTTACTTCAGCAGGCAGTGGAGGGGCCACTGCAAGTCTTTGAGTAGAACTGACTTCCAAGGGCCATGGCAGCTGAACAGTTTCTTGCCTGCTTCAGGATTATTCAGAAGCCAGACCGCTCCCCTTCCACAGTGCCCACCTGCCCATCGTACCCTGGACCCCTGGTGCCATCAGCTTCTTCCACTGTGCAAATGGTGATGTCACCCCTACCCTCCCTGAAATACCTCTTTCTAGTCTAGGAAACTGGAGAGGAAGGGGAGCAGTGCTGATAGGAGGCCTAAGGCCTCAGGACTCATGCCCACTCCCAACCCCCACTCTTTGCAGTTTATTCTCATCTTCCTGGTGATCGAGTACCTGCCAACAACAGAAATATCCAAGGTGTGCCAAGGCCATTGGCTTCCTCATGGCTCTGTCCTCTGTGGTGGGCATTCCACTCTACACCCTGTTCCACTGCTGGAGGACAGATGGGGACACCCTCCTCCAGGTGAGGGGTGGGGGCAGGGGCAGCCAGGTGAATCAGAAGCAGGTGGATGGATGGAAGGCACTCCAGGGCTCCCTTCTGATGCACCCTGCCCGCCCATCCCTTCTCATGCCTACCTCTCCTGCAGCATTTGAAAAACTCAACAAAGCTGAGTGGAGACTAGGGTCCCACCCTCCTGGAGCACCGAGCAGGGCATTACACCCCCACTATTCCACGCTTCCCTGAAGATGGGCTTGAGTCCCAGCCGCTGTCCCTGAACGGTGCCCAGGTTACTGGGCAGTAATGACTCCAGCTGTCTGCAGGACTCCCAGGTGCCAGCACAGCTGCCAGGGGAGTGCCCCACCCCCACCCTGTGCTCCCAACACAAAGACTGGGGAGACAGCGGGTAGGTGTCACCATCTGCCCCCACCATGCCCTGGCCAGGGGTGGCACCTGTCACCTTGGCCACCACTGCTAGCACGGTCATTCGTGTTCATGTCCCTAGTGTTTACAGGTCCTTTAGATGCCAAGATGGCAGCTGGGGGGTGTGGGTGATGTGGGGGTTGCTGGGGTCCCCAGGTCAGGCCCCCAGACACCTGCTGGGCTCCACGTGGCCTCTGACGCCCCCACACTCTGCCATGAGCTGAGGTTCTGAGTGGGCCCCTACCTGTCCCTGAGCCTTTGGCCTCCTGACCAGAGTTCCTGCCCTTGGGGTGGACCCCAGCCTCCGCCCAGGCTAATTCAGATCTTCCTACCTGGAGGCAGGGTGAGGGGCTGGGGGGCTGTGCAGTGTTACGGGTCAGGCTGTGTGGCCCAGCCCTTTTGTCTGATTATTTTTGTAAAAATTGTATTATCTGTGGTTGCTACCCCCTCACCCTCGGCTTCAGGCCCAATCTGTCTTCCAGGCCCGCCTGCACATCCCTCGGCAGCTCTGAGGTCCCTGTGCCTCCTTCCAGCACTGGCTGTCAGGGCCAGCCCAGCAGAGGCCCATGACCCAACAGCCCGCCCAAAGAACTCGTTTCTGGGGGTAGGGATGGGGTGATGCTCAGCAGGAGGTTGGAGCCCAGAGACCAGGGGAAGTGGACCCTACACAACACCTCCTTGCCCTACCACCGCCAGGCTAAAGCCCAGTCTTCCCAAACTGGGCTACCCTTGTTCAGGTGCCAAATTGCCCCAGCCCGTGTGCCCCAACCACTCTCTGGAGCCAAAACTCCTTTCCCCCAGCCCTGCAGTGTCTGTGTGTCTGTCCTCTGCGCCCCTCTGTGCAGTGACAGCCCGGGAAGAGCTGCCTCTAATCCTCTGTAGCAGTAACGGTGCGCCTCCCACCCCCAACCATCTGCGAACCACTAGGTTTATAAAGTCCACAGATTTTAATGAAATTTCTATTCCTGTCTCTGAGCTGCTGCTGTGTTTCGTCTGGGTCCTCCAGCGGGACATGTGTCAGCGCTGGGACAAGACCTCCTCCTGCCAGGCCTTTGGGGGGATGCCTGGGAGGAGAAAGGACAGAGGCTGTGACAGTCAGGACCGGACACTGAGGACCTGCTGAGAAGGTAGGGTGAGGGCCAGACAGACAGACAGACAGCAGTGGACTCCTGGGGAGGACTCATCCTAGACTGGATCTGAAGTGGGCCGGACCCTGGCAGCTGAAAGAGAGCAGGAGCGACAGGACGAGTTCCAGGCGAAGCTGAAGCCTCCTTCCTGAGCAGCCCTTCAGGTTGGGGCCTGGGGCGCTGCACTGGACGTCAGAGTAGAAGCTGGCCTTTTCCCGGGGAGGCACTGAATCTTCTGTCCCCAGCGGCAGGTGGGGGCCAGGCCGCGAGGTTTGGGGCAGCGCTCCAGAGGGGAGCAGGCAGGCAGCACTGGAGAAGCCTGGCCCGAACTCCAGCAGCCCCGTGGAAGCAAGGCAGGAGTCCAGTGCCCTGGCTGGAGGACCCCAAGGGCTGTGGCCTGAATGGAGGGAGTAGCTGTGAGGGGGCCATGGCCTGCCCCTTAGCCTGCCCCATCCAGCTGTCTGTCTGCTCTCGGTTACCTGTGGCTGGGGGAGACACCGGAAGGCCTCAGGGGTGCCTGCAGCTCCTGTTGCCTGGCTGCCTTCTGTTCCTTTAGCTCTGGAGGAGAGGTTCTGCCTGAGACACAGCGCCCAGTCTTCCAGGCTGTGTTACAAGAGCAAGGTGGGATGGGTGTGGGTGGGGTGGAAGTGGGAAGGGTGGAGCGCTGGGTGCTCTGGGACCTGCTAGGGTCCTCACCTGCCAGGGTGGGCTCTAGGCTTGCCTCAGGGCCGGGGGCAGAAGGCCTGAATACTCGTCTTCCAGGCAGCGCTGCAGGGAGAGCTGGCTCAGTGCCTGGCTTTACGGCAGGGTGCCCAGGCCAGGATCCCCATGGTGGGGCGCAGGAACCAGCCCGTGCAGTCTCTACCTCCCAATCACTGGGGGGCACTCCTGAGAGGAACACCAGCCTCTCGCTGAAAAGCTGAGCTTGGCAAGAGGGTGGCAGGCCTGAACCCAGACTTAGGGAAGAGAAGGAGGCAAAAGACCTAGGCAGACCCAGCAGCTGATCTAAAAGTGCTGACCTCGGACTTAGGGACTCAACTGGAATATGAATTCATGTACTTAAGGATCACACACATAAGAAGTGTGCACACAGGAAAAATGGACCCAGGGTTCACACAACCTCTGCAGGTGTGTGGATCTCATGCCCTGGGTGAGAGACAGGGTTGTCTACGCAGAAGGGCTGGCAGCAGGGCGGCCAAGGACTGCAGCTCACCTGCAGGATGGGAATCCCCTCTCCAGAGCATGGCACTCTTCCTCCAGGAGGGCCCTGGGACATGGACAGTGCAGCACCGGAAGCAGTGCTACAGGCCCAGGTCTCAGCAGAACCCTCCATGCGGTCCCAACCTCCGGCCTCACCAGGAGCCTCCTCTAGGCCCTCCTATCTCGGTCCACCTCTCCCTCTGCTGCCCTCATGCTGTTCCAGCACAGCCTTGCAGCCCTGCCAGTCTCTCCCTGGGCAGGGTGTATCCTCTCTCCTTGCCTGTCTCCCAGTGCCCACCCTCAGAAGCAGCAGTCTCTCGTCTACATAATAGGACTAGACTTGTGGGTCCTCCTGCCTCCATTCTCTCCTGCATGACAGCCCTGCCCCTGCTTTAAAAACTCTTCTGTGTATCATCTCTTCCCTACCTCCCAGGATAAAAGTCCTCAGGCCAAGGCCCGTGTAGGCATCTGTACTTGACTGATTCCTGGCAGCAACCTCATCAGCATCCTGCCCTTTCCACCTCTCAGCCTCTCTCTCCTGGGTCTCCCAACCAGGTGTGTTCCCTCCCTTTTCCTCCCAGTAGTCCTAGTATATCAGGATCCATCTGCAGTCCCACAGTCCCTGTCCCCACCCCCACTGCACACACTTGGGGGCCTCACTGCACGTGTCCAGAAGGCTGGTCAATATGGGACACATTCAGCTGGTCCTTGATGACGCTGAGGTCCTGGTGACAGCTGCTGGCAGATGAAGTCAACCTCACTCTCTCATGCTGCTTCACCCCAGGCCTTCAGGACACAAACACCATTTCTCCTAGACAATTTTGTGCTTTCTCACAAAGGCAACACAAGATGGTAGTAAAAGGAGGAGATGTGGAGCCTGGGATTGCACATGGGTTCTGCAACCCTTTACTATGTGTGAGTTTGGGAAAGTCAATCATCCCTTCTGAGCTTTAGTATCATCTGCAAAATGGGGCCATCACCCCCTTCATAAGGATGTGTGAGAAATAAGTTGCTACCATTCACGGATGAACATGCTGCTGCTCATTTATCTCGTTCAGTCCCTAGCCCTCTCTAACCCAGTCCTTGCAGCCTGGCTATCCCAGCCTGCGGGACAACCGGCCGCTGGGTGAAGTCTTTCCTTCCACTCCTATCTGCGTGTCCTTCTCCATCTCCCTGCAAAGCGCTGCTCTTTGTATCTGTCTGGAAGTCTGTTGCTTGTACTCTAAAACCCAGCTGGAACCAAGCTCCCAGGACTGGCACCTGCTTCCTGGGTCTCTGCAGCCCTCATGGGCTGACCTCTACCACAGGTGACTGTAGAAGCGTCAGTCCCAGACCAGGAATTCCTCCATGCTCGCAGGTGGGACCTACCAGCTGGCTGGGGTCCTTTGCCCAGCAAGGACAGATCCCTCCTCTCCTGCTACTACACCTGGGTTCACCAGCTCTCCTCTGGAACATCTCCTGTTCTGGCAAATCAGGCCTGGGCTCCTCCAAGGCAAAGTGCAGGACCCTGGGGCTATACTGGACCCAAACGTGGGTCTGGTCCCTGCAGAAGATGCATAAAGGAAATTCAGGGGCTCCTTCCAGGGAACCACAGGAAAGGTGATCCTGGACCCTTGTCAGTTGCCAGGCTAGCCCATCTGAGTTCTGGATACAGGGCCCAGACCCAGGTCTGGAGCTCCAACCTGCCCTCACAAATGGCCTTCCGGCGGAGACCTTGGAGCAACTGCCACAGTTCCTGGCGCACAAGATCTCTTAGGAGGGGCGGTGGTGCCAGAAGGGAGGAGAGGTCAGAGGTGGGGCGCGATCTTGAGGCTTGAATAGATGGAGCCTCTTGGAGCAATGATCGTAACATCACTACCTGCAAGGACAGCTGGGGCACCTCGGCGACTGCGGAGGGAAGTGAAGGGAGGCAGGGGAGCTGGGGGAATGAGCGGCAGGGCAGTTAAATTGGAGAGGGTTGGGAGGACAATGAGATCCGACAAGAGCTTGAGAGTTACTGGGCAGGGCTAGGGACCCATAGAAGGTGAGAAAATCATCCGAGTCCTGGGACAAGTCTGCCGTGGGGCTCACCTTCCTACGCCCCACCTCTGCCCATAGCTCCAGGCTCAGATCCACCTTCGTCTCCCCTAGAATCCTCTTCACTTCGGGCCGCTCCGGGAGCGGAACGTGCTCTTCCACCAGTTCCCACAGCGACTGGGAGTCCCCAGGCATGGCCCGCCCGCTCCGCTGCCCCACCCAGACGCGCGGCCGCACACTTGGACCTGCGGGACCACAGCTCGGAGTGCTGGGTATACTGCTAGTCGCCCAAGGCCGGGCACCCCCACTGACGCCTCGCACGCTTCCGGGTCTCACAGGCCACACCCCCAGCCTGTCACTCAGACCAGCCTCTCCCAAGCCTCATTCCGTTCGGCCGCACGTCCCCACGACTAGAGTTGCTCGGTCCAGAGCCGCTGGCCTCTGGCGCTCTCTTCTGCCCTACTACTGATCGACTCTCTGAGGCCACGGTTTCAGGTCGCGGCCCGGGGAGCCTGGAGGCCCGAGCCCCGCCTCTTCCGTGCGGCCGTCACCCGGGAAACGGGGCCCGCTACCCCCAAGCTCCGCCCCCAGAGGGCTTCGGCCCCGCCCATTCCGGGGCGGTGCCAGCAAGCAAAGCCCAACACACAGCCGCGGTAGGTGGTTTCGCAGCCTCAACCATGCACATCACCCTGACTCCAAGCACCTTTCATCCCTGGGCACCTTTAGACTCCAGGGCAGGTGAAAGAACCGAGAAATCTGAGCCCGGTGGGTTTATTACTTCCGTGCCTTTTCTGGGGCAGGAACGGGCTAGGCTGGTCAAGGAAGACAAGTAAAGGGTGGAGTGTGGGAGAAACAGAAGGGGAGGAAGGCGGTAGGTCGAGGAGGACCAAGGGGCCAGATGAGCAGCGTCTCACGGAGCCTGCACTTTTCCTACCTGGTTCTGTTTTCTCCAGGAGAGCTGCAAAATGGGTTCATTTCCTGGGTTTTCCTCTCCCGAGGAGCCACTTATAAACCTGGACCCTCCGGTCCCACTGGAGCTGCTGAGTCAGACTCTGAGCAAAACCGTATCCTAGGATGGTTCCCATGCGTGTTGAAGTTTGACAAGTGCTCTTCCAGATGAAGTGGGTTTCAGTTTACACGTTTTATTTTGTTTTGGAGGACTGGCCACGCCTGTTAGACCTTTAATCCGTGGGAAAGTGAGCTTGTACTGAGCTTGTAAATAAGTTCGCTTGTAAATAAGTAAGCAGCTTGTGGCTGCTTGTGGGTTGTCACAGCTCTTAAAGTGAAGATGAGGAATCTCTTCATTTTCCTACCATAATTTTGACTTGTCCTGCTTTAATATATAAATAGCGTTTCTCTGAAGTTATTTTACGTAAGTGCCAGTGCACACAAACACACATATTTTAGCTATCAAAACATATATGTAACTCTACTGGTCAGAAATTAGGGGAAAATTAAAGTGCCATAGTGATTGAATAAGATGAAGGAAACCCCCCCTTCATTATTATAGCATCTTATCTATTTAGTCCATGCTCTTCTTTTTACTACCTTTTCATGCTAACTCAGTAAAGTATGAAGAATGTACTCTGAGTTGTACATGTTAGTCCAGGGATGGCAGTTTTTATTTTCTGAGTTTCTCATCTTTCTACTGCCTTGGGTCGGGGGCTCCGCTAAAGGCTGATTTCCAGGGGTGCTGATACAAGCATCAGGGGAAGGGGTTCAGTTGTCACATCCTTCTGTGGCTTAAAGATTCTCTGCTGACAGAGAAACAAACCAACAAGACAAATACAACTGGGCACGCCGTCTGGATTCTCCGCTGCTGCATCTGTGTCTGAAGGGAGAGGGTGGCTGGGTTTCCTCGTGACCGTGTCTCTGCCCACAGATCGCGGCCCTGGAACAAGCCATCAGAGACGCCCAAGAGTGTGATGATGGCGAGATTCAGCTCTACAATGAGCAGATCGACACCCTGCGGAAGGAGACTGAAGAGGCAGGAGGAGCCTGGAGAGGTCATTCTATGACTGCCGGCAGCTGGTGGTCGCCCAGCAGACCCTGAGGAACGAGTTGGACAGGTATCATTGCATCATCGAGAATACAGGCAACAGGTGGGGTCGGGGTGGGCAGAGTCCGTGGGCACAGAACCACTTACTTGTCTCACGTTTTTCCATGTGCCAGTTCCAGGCTGTAGGGAATGTGGCAGGAAAGTGAAAATGTTAGTTGCTCAGGCTTGTCCGACTCTTGGTAACCCCCTGGGTTATACCTCACCAGATTCCTCTGTCCATGGGATTCTCCAGGCAAGGATATTGGAGTGGGTAGCCATTCTGTTCTCCAGGGGATCTTCCTGACCCACTGCAGGCAGATTGTTTACTGTCTGAGCCACCAGAAGCAGACCCCCATATCCAGGACCTCACAGGTCTGGAATGGCAGTGAGGGAGGCAGAGGATGAATGGGTTTGCAACAGAGATATGGGCTCCGGTGTGAGTGATGGTGGGAGGAGGGGAGAGGTGATGAAGATGACCATGGGAGTGTTTGGATTTCAAGGTGCCTTTCAGCTCCACAGGTCTCTGGGGGCAGGAATGTCTTAGCTGAAAGGATGACCAGGTATGGTTATTGAGATGTTGCAGGCGAGATGCCTGCACAGTACCTGGAATTGGACCAGACCTCAGAGCAGTTGATATTATTACTGCTGCTGCCATGTTGACTCTGAGCACCTGGCCAGTCAGTTCTGTGGCTCCCAGCAGGCTGTCTGGTCTCATCTGCATGTTGCATTGGGACGTGAACTCTGCTGGCAAGTGTCTCTGTCTGTCTCAGCCTCATTCACATCTACACCTGCATCAGCTACTCTCCATTTCCTCCATGTTCGTCTATGTGACCATGTCTGCACCTACATCTATACTTATATCCACATCTGTGTCTACACCATCTGTATGTGTACATCTACACTACACCTACATTGTCTACATCATCTGGAGCTACACCCACATCACCTAACCTACATCTGTATCATCTACACCTACACCTGTCTCTACATCACCTACACCTACATCATCTGTATCTACATCTGACACCTACTCGGCCATCTATGTCTGTCTGGATCATCTACATGTATGTCTACCCCACATCTGCATTTTCTGCACCTGCACCATCTTCTTCAACACCTCTGTTATTTATGCTGATGCCTGCATCACCTACATTTACACCTGCACTTACCTCTATGTCTACGTCTGCATCTCTACCTCCATCCACATCTACATCATCTGTATCCACGTCTATATCACTTACATCTGTATCTACATACACCTATATCTACATTATCTATGGTTACACTTACATCTTTATCACCTAAGCCTGCACCTCATCTACACATAAGGTATCTAAATCTCCATCATCTTTATGTACATGCATAAAGTATATATACCTCCATGGTTTTCATGTATATGTATAAGCTGTCTACATCTCCATTGTTTTTATGTACAAGTATAAAGAAAGCTGAGCACCAAAGAATTGATGCTTTTTAACTGTGGTGTTGGAGAAGACTCTTGAGAGTCCCTTGGACTGCAAGGAGATCCAACCAGTCCATCCTAAAGGAGATCAGTCCTGGGTGTTCATTGGAAGGACTGATGTTGAAGCTGAAACCCCAATACTTTGGCCACCTGATGTGAAGAGCTGACTCATTTGAAAAGACCCTGATGCTGGGAAAGACTGAGGGCAGAAGGAGAAGGGCATGTCAGAGGATGAGATGATTGGATGAGGTAACTGACTCAATGGACATGAGTTTGAGTAAACTCCGGGAGTTGGTGATGGACAGGGAGGCCTGGCGTGCTGCGGTTCATGGGGTTGCAAAGAGTCAGAGACAACTGAGCCACTGAGCTGACCTGATAAACTGTCTACATCTCCATTGTTTTTATGTACATGCAGAAACTGTCTACACCCCCACTGTCTTTATGTACATGTATAAACCATCCGTACCTGCATTGTCTTTATATACACACACATCTACAGTGGTGTCTCCATTATTCCTATCTGTACCCATGCCTACATATATGGCTGTATCTACCTGTGTCGGAGAAGGCAATGGCAACCCACTCCAGTACTCTTGCCTGGAAAATCCCATGGATGGAGGAGCCTGGTAGGCTGCAGTCCATGGGGTCGCTAAGAGTTGGTCACGACTGAACGGCTTCACTTTCACTTTTCACATTCATGCATTGAAGAAGGAAATGGCAACCCACTCCAGTGTTCTTGCCTGGAGAATCCCAGGGACGAGGTAGCCTTGCGGGTTGCATCTATGGGTTTGCACAGAGTCGGACACGACTGAAGCGACTTAGCAGTAACAGCAGCAGCAGCAGCAGCCACCTGGAACTAAAAGCCCGCCTTTTGGATGAGACAGGGTGAAACTTTGTGTTTTCTGAAACCCAAGAACCTTCCAAGGAAAAAGGACATGGTAGTGAAAGACAGAGCAGATGAAATTCTGGAAGAGACACCCCTGAGAGGCCCAGAGGACACAAAGCCGGGGAGGGTGGTGCTCAAAAAAGAGGGCAAGTCTAAGCTTGAACCGGGGGATGAATAAGCAAGTCCCCTGACCTAGGAAGGGACTCTGGAGGATGTCCCAGATGGAGGCAAGATAAGCAAAGACTTTGAGAAACTAGGCAAGATGATCAAGGAGAAGGTGAAAGGCCCCAAAGAACCCGAGCTCCTTGCCGACCTGTACACCAAAAGGCGGTACATGACAGTCTCTGGAGATGCCAGTCTCATGGGTCCTGGCTTCTGTGTCTTCTCCATCCCAGCAAAGGGGGCGTGGTGGTTTCTAAGGGGACCACTCTGTGCATCCTGACAGCAGCGTGGAATCCTCTCCCCAGCAGCCTGAGCACCCTCTGGAGGTTGGACAGGGTTCCCCCAGGGGAAAGAAGACTGTCTGAAGGAGGAAGGGGGCCCCTGAAGGGGGAAGAAGATGGTCTGAAGGATGAAAGGGGGCCCCCAGGGGAAAGAAGACGGTCTGAAGGAGGAAGGGGGCCCCTGAAGGGGAAAGAAGACGGTCTGAAGGAGGAAGGGGGCCCCTGAAGGGGAAAGAAGACGGTCTGAAGGAGGAAGGGGGCCCCTGAAGGGGAAAGAAGATGGTCTGAAGGATGAAGGGGGGGCCCCGAGGGGAAAGAAGACGGTCTGAAGGAGGAAGGGGGGCCACTGAAGGGGAAAGAAGATGGTCTGAAGGAGGAAGGGGGCCCCTGAAGGGGAAAGAACATGGATGCCCCCCCACCCCACACCCTGCAGACAAAGGGAATGAGAAAAATGCCAAAGAACTGAAGGGCCTCCAGGGGAAACAGGATGGCCAGAAGGAGGATGAGGGGGACAGACGGCCCTGTCCCATGGTGGCACCTGGTCCAGAGGGGCTGTCTACACCCCGGTCTCAAGGGCCTCAGGTCACTCCGGGTGGGTCCAAGGGGCATGGGGCTCAGAGTTGCAGCCGGCCGGTGAGAAGCCCTCCCGGGAAGCTGGCCTAAAAGAAAGTGGAAGTGATGGAATCCATAGAGAAGTTTTCCACCGGGAGCATCCAGATGTACGAAGAGACTGTTGTCGTTGTGGAGACCACGATTGAAAAGACAAGGCGAACGAGAAGAAACGGAGAGAAGGGATCCTCCAGTGCCTGAGCTAACCAGGAGGAGGTGGCTCTGGGCCCCTGCAGACGCGTGCTTCGATGTCTTAGAACAGAGGCTACAAGGGTGGGGAAACAAGGTTCTTGTTTGGATTAGACCATGGTTGGCCTGTCTGGCTTACCAATGAAGGCTTAATTAAAATGTTTTCTTTGCTTGCACATCCTTTGTCTGGTTAACAGGGGCCTTGGGCTTTCATGTGGGCCCACCTCACTTAGGACAGGGTTGCCCTGCTAATAGCCACTGAGCTGAGCTCATTTAAGAAAGTAGACGAGCCCTTTGTCCTGGGGCATCGCAGGGCTCATTAGAGGCTCAGAGTCTGGATTTCACACCTGAAACGTGTCAGGTGATGAATCAGCTTGTTTTCACCACGTTTCAGGCACAAGCACACGATTGCACGATGGGTGCTTTGTTAGAAGTCAGATGATTAAAGGTGTCTGTCTCAGTTTGGATTCCCCAAGAAGCTGACCCTGCAGCAAGGATCTGATGTCATTTCTGGGGATGTGGTCCCAGGAAGTGCTAGGAGGGCAGGAGACAGAGGTGGGGGCAGCAGGGCATCAGACAGGAGAGGTGCTACCAGGTGGGTTGGCACCGTGGTCGGCTGGCGCTCAGCCCCCATCCCTGGGGGCTCTTGGAAATGGGGTAGAATTCAGTCTTCAGTTACCCTGCCCGAGGATGCAGGGGCTGGGTGGGTCAACACCCAGCCAGAAGGGAGGGCCCAGGACAGCCCTCAACTGAGAATTGCAGGTGCAGGCAGGCGTTTGGACACCAGGCGTGGAGATGCATGGAAGCAGTAGGGGTCATGGGCAAGAAGTAGGGTGCCAGGGCCACCTGCATAGCACACGTACCTTGTGTCCTTCTGGCTGAGTCACTTAAGAGTTTCTCACTCAGAGATTGCACTCCTGGGTCGGGCTTCAAAAGCAAAATCAAATGTCACCAGGCAGTTCCTTGTTCAGCAGTTAATTAATGAACTCGCCTAACATTTACTGAGGGGCTCCCCTGATGGCTCAAGCGGTAAAGAATCTGCCTGCAATTCAGGTGACATAGGAGAGGCTGGTTCAATCCTGGGATTGGGGAGATCACACGGAGATGGAAATGGCAACCCACTCCAGTATTCTTGCCTGGGAAGTTCCATGAACAGAGGAGCCTGGTGGGCTACATCCATGGGATTGCAAAGAGTCAGACATGACTGAGTGACTGAGCACAGACACACATTTACTGAACATACTGTTTGCCAGGCAGAGTGCAGTGCTGATAAGGGAGAGTTTACAAGTTTATTAATGATCTTAATTACCATAATATAATGTCCCATAATACACATATGTGTATTCTCCTGTGCATACATGTGCACTCAGGTAACTGCAGTGTCACATCCTAGGAAACAGAAATTACTTGAAACCAGAATCTTTACAAACATTTTTATGCTGCCTATAGGCATCTCTTTTTCTCTACTAACAGTCCAAAGGTTTTTTTTTTTTTTTTTTTTTTTGCTTAGCCAAATAGAAATTACTCCGTCTCCACATAGATGCTCCAAAATACATTATGGGCAGTGAATAAATGTGCTGAAATGGATTATTGCATCTCCCTAAACAAAGGTATCTGGCAAGACAACCACACATCATTAGAGAAAATTAATAGTGCCATAAATTACATTCTAGTATTTCTTTGTTAGAAATCATATAAAGAATACTAAATGGAGTCACCTTTCCTTTCTGTGTAGAGCTTTAAAAAAAAATCTCTCTCTGAATTCATGTGAGGTTTGGATTTCAAGATAGACATATGCTTTTGTTGTTCTTTCCATAAGATGAGTGAAGGACCTGCTCCATGGCACATTTTGAAATATGTATCATTTAAAAGCTTAAGAGAGAATAATGGAAACCTTTACCTGGAGCTCAGACTGTGCTGGGAATTTGAACCAGTGTATATATTAGATTCAACAGAACCACTCCTGCAAACCTCGTCTTCCCCAGTAAGTCTTAATTTTGGGGGTCATGTGTTTGGCTAATTATTTAAAAAGTTGGGGGCTATCTTTTTGGAAAGAAATGTCATTTTCATATTTTATTCAATCAGTGATCAAAAGTGGACTGGGGGGCCTGTTCTGATCATTCACGGCTTTGGCGGGGAGACAGCAGGGGACACTGAATGTGTTCAGCTGTCACAGTCACGACTTTCTGAGCAAGGGAGGAATTGCACTGGCAGGAAGATAACTAAATAAGAGGAAATCATGCAGAGAAGGCACCACAGGGGCATGTGCTAGACGGAAAGTGTGTCTCTTCTGGGGTGGACAGTCCATTGAAGACCCCATTAATGAGGTGATGACCTGATGACAAGATGGGCCCATGGTGTGCAGATCAGAGGGAAGAGCATTGTAGGTAGCAGGAACGGCTGGTGCAGAGGTCCTGGGGCAGGAATGGACTAGGCTGTTCAAGGAAGACAAGTAAAGGGGGGAGTGTGGGAGAAATAGGAGGAGGGGAGGAAGGTGGTGGGTTGAGGGGGACCGAGGGGTCAGATGAGCAGCATCTCCCAGAGCCCCCCTTGCCTGAAGCCAGGCTTGCAGTGTGATGTGCAGGGCAGCCTGTGGTGAGCGCCTTGGGGTCTGGGAGGGCTCTCTGACCCTTGCACCTCCCCGCTCCACTTGCCCCAGTGCCCCACCCACTCATTTTCCTGGCTGCTCCTCTGCACTTTTCCTACTTGGTTCTGTTTCCCCCAGGAGAGCTGCAGAACGGGTTCATTTCCTGGGTTTTCCTCTCTTGAGGACTCTGAAAACAAGCACTTAAGTTTGTATAAAAAAGATAAACACAGGGGCCCAAAGCAGGTTCCCCAGCAGCACAGATGACAGGAGGACGCTGGAGCTTTGCCAAACACTGAGACCCCACAGTGCCAGTGCCCGGATGACTGGTCCAAACTGCTGTGTCGGGGAGCAGGAGGAGGCTGGGCTCCTCTTTGACTCAGCCTCAAGCCCAGGACCGAGACTGTCCAGAGCCACCTCCTCCATAAAGAAACTGCCTCCCAGTTCCCAGGAGCCCCCATTCTCCAAGCATTTGAGTCACTGTGACCAGTGACCACTGTTGTTTCAGCCGCAGTTAGGAGCTGGCCCCCAGGTTGGTCCTCCCGCCCCCGCCGCTCTGGTTCAGGTCCCCATGCTCAAGCAGCAGAGCAGGTACATGTGACTCTGCCAGGGGCTCCTGCAGCCCCAGGAGTGAGCTCGGTCCACACACTGGGCAGGCTGGCAGTACTGGGGCTCCGGGAGTGGCCCTCATCTAGAATGGAGATGCCCAGGTGCATGGACACCCCAGCTCTCTCGTCCCTCCATTGGGACCACCCCGAGGCTTGTTGTACACGGTCCCCAGTGGGTGTCAGCTGCAGATGCGGGTGGAGAGACCCGCTCATCCCTGTGGCCCGAATGGGACCCCTCCTCTCCTGTCCCACTGCCTGCTTCCGTACATAAAGAAGCTTCCTTCCAAATAAATGACCTGACCTCGGCTCCTGTGTCAGAGTCAGCTTCTGGGAGGAACAATCTGAGATGGCTGATTGGCGTCTGCCCAGCAAACACCCCTCTCTCCCCACTGCTGGGTGGGCACAGCTCTGATCTTGTCCTGAGGAGCTGCTCCTTCACACGAGTTACAGCCCTGATCTGACCCACGAGACACCCCGCCTTTCTCTTCCTGTGGGTGGGCAAGTGTCCCCAACCAGACCCACTGTTGGAATAGGAGATCCGAGTCCAGCGGAGCCAAGATGAACATGCAGGAGCCACCCTGTGATTGGCGAGTCCTGATGCGGTCCCCACGGTCCCCACTGTGCCTCCCGGTCCCAGGGCTCGATAGAGCCTCTGTCCCTTTTGAGGCTGGTTCAGGCCGGCTCCTTAGACTTCCCTTCAGTTCTGAGTGCTGCACCGCCTGTTTTAGATATGCAGCTTCCGTGTCTTCATGAGTCAGAGTTGGTTTCTGTTCTTGCAACCCCAGAGATCCCCACGAAAACCTCTAGCGAAGGAGGCTTTCTATCAAGGTGGGGATTCATGGAGGTTTCAGTTAGGTGGGATTGCCCCCAGAGCAGACCCTAAACAAGATCTCGGGTGCCGGTGGTTTGTAGAGTGGTGATCACAGAGACTAGGCCTGCCATTAGAAAGCCCAGGCTCTTAGCTCCAAGCCAGCCTGTCTACGCTGCAGTGGGTGCCAGGGTTGTGAAACTGCAGTCTTGTCCCTGATATGCCAGCATGCCCCTGGTGGGGGAGAGGGAAGGCTGGAAGATAGATAATGTGGTCCTCCTTTGCTACTTCATCCTCGTCATGGCACTTCCTTCCCTGAGCAACAGCTGAAGCCAGTTCCCAGTCTTTCCAATATCTGCAGAAGCAGCCTCACTACAGTCTCCTCAGAGACCTGGGTCTTCCAGGGTGTCCTGCCAGGGGTGCTCATGCTCCACCTCTGGGCAGGGCGGGGTGGTGTTGTCCGTCCCCTACATCCAGCAAGCCTGCTAGTTTGATGCAGGTGCTTGGTCCATGTGGTACATTAGTGGTCTCTTCTGCTTTCCTAATTAAGAAGGTAATGCTTCTTTAAGCTCTTTTATAGTGCTTTTGGAGAAGAAAAAGGCTACCCACACCAGTATTCTTGCCTGGGAAGCCCCAGGAACTGAGGAGCCTGGTGGGCTACAGCCGGTGGGATCGCAGAGTCAGACATGACTTAGCGACTAAACAACAACAAATAGTGCTTTATACTCAGTTCTCTCTGTTAAAGTCACCAGTGGTGTTTCAGGCTGCACTGATCCGGGCTATTGCCTCGTGCTCCACTCGCAGGGAAGAGGCCAGCCATCCCTGCAGGAGGTGAGGAAGCTGGGGTGTCTGTGGACCAGCTCCC